CATTTGGGATTACTAAACTCGGCGAATCCGTTCCCGGCCCCGTGTCCGTGCGCAAGCGTGTGCGTCGGAGTTAATTGTCCCCCGGCGAAAGTGCTGCTGCCCCGCTTAATAAGTTTCCGCGAGAACTTGCCGCGTAAACCGAACGGCGGTCCGACGGAAATCCGGGATCCCCGAAAGAACTCGCGGGAATAATTAGGCGAGCGAGGGGCGGCCGGCAACGGGGACGCGATTATTTTTGAGAAATGGTATCGAATCGCCGGGGAAAGGTCTCGGGGCGAGTTGCCGCGTTAATGCGGAGGTCCGCGGGGCGGGGCCGAGCAGTTTCCCACGGCTTTCTCTCGGAACTCGCGGAAACTCTGTCGACTTTGGCCGGCGATTCTCGAAAGAACCAGCCGGCCGCCTCCCCCCGGGCATGTTAATGAATTTCCACGCGAACGCGGAAACTTCCGACACTGAAACAAAGCGTCGAAATAAGTACCCGGGTCGTGGAAAGTTCGGGACGCGTACCGGTTCCCTGAAATTCAGCCGGAACTCGGCCCGTCCACGGATCGGCCGGTTAATATTTGGGGCAATAAGGCAGTACTCTAGATGGTTGAGTGAATGTTGGCTGATTTAGATATGTTTGTTAGTGAGGATAGGTTTTTGTATGTTTCTCGACGTTTGAATGTGAGTTTGTATTGTTTTGCTGGACAGTGGGTGGTACTGAAACAAAATGGCAGGCTATTAACCTAATGAAGAATATATAGAGTATTATATGTTGTTTCATTTTGCTTAACTCTTTGGAGTTAGATGAGTTAAATAGTCCCACTGTTTATTTAGGTTTTTATATATGGTGAGGTGTTTGAATATCAAAAAGTTGAAGTTATTCATAGTCCTACGGTTGAATATTTGATTTAAGGTTGTTTTGTAATCTATCAGCAACTGCAACTAATTTTTATAGTATTCCTAGCGAAAATTAGAACTGCTATAACATTTCGATCTTTTGTTTTCCTTGTTAGTACAAAATTTGGATGTGTGGAGAATCGAATAATTTTAGGGTAGTTTCTTTGAGATTCATTCTTCAAAATATTTAATATTATAACTGGTGCAATATTGGAGCCTACAGAGTTCAAAGGGTTAAAGCTTCTCATCCAGTCGCAATCTATGAACTAACTGTAAATAGTAAACAAGTGAAACCAACAACTTATACAAAACACTAGTAAGTTGAGATCGTGATTCACTAAGCTCGTGTAATATTTTGCTATCGACAATTGTAAGAATACAACAAAATTTTCCATTCTACTTCAGTTGGAAATTTCATTCGAAGATAATACATTGATAATAGCAAAATAGTCGTTTCCTTTGATCCGTGGGTAATGAACAACATTGATTCTTATTAAATTAGTTTAGAAATCTTCATCACGAGTCTCACTCGTCATTGTACAGCAAGAGGTTAAGGTTGACGAATCGTGGTGCAGTGAATTCCATGCAGCTCGGATTGTCTTCTCACAGTCCCGTGCCTCGAGGATTTAAATAAATACATTTAAGTCAGCCGAAATTAACTCAGCCAGCGGAAAAAGACGATTTACGCGTACCCCTAATATTAACGCCGGCCTGTTTAGGTAGGAAGTAGATTTATTCGACGCCGGAACGGTCGGAGTCGCGGAACGACAAGAAACTCGCCGCGTCTCGTTAACATTTCACCGAGTCGGTTACCGGGAAGATCGACTCGATCTCCGGAGGACCGCGACCCTTTAAATATCAGCCTTCAGCCGGCCGAAAGAACGGGGATGGCGATGAATTATCAAAATTTCCGCAACACGCGCCGCGCAGCCCTTCTTCACTGTCGGCGTGGCAAGTCGCGCGTTCGTAAGGGAATCCCGTTCCCCGTGGGAGTGCCAGGACAATTTCCGACGGCGTTTTATTTTCCACGGTCAAAGGACACGCCGGCATGAATTATCGATTATCGTTCTTCGACCGGTACAGTTCGGAACGAGCCGGGGCGTCTTAGTTTCCCGTTTTAGTCCGCCGCGGATTCTACTTCGGGCAGGTTTATATCTGGAAGATTGACTTTTATCGGTGGGAAACTCCTATAAGGAAACCCTCTACTAGTGGACAGTGTAACTGTATTCGATCGACACCGGAAAAGAACGTTCGTCGCGAGCTCGACGATAAGTTGCAAGAACGACGCGATACTCGCGTCCGACGGACAAGTTAATTATTTGCCGGTGAACGCCATCGGCCGACCGCGTCGCTGTATATCCTCGTTGCTCCACATTCTCCGACCGAATATTAGAAAACGTTTCGCGCATTAGTCACTCTGCACTCTGCGGCGGCGACTATTAAGGGGGAACCGGGCCAACGGGCATTTTAGGCGGCGTCACGGCCGTCGTCGAACGCGGCGCGGAATTGACAATTAAATGTAACGTTAAACGTACAATGCGTCGCATTGTGACACCGGGGCTTTCGAGGGGCGGCGTTTCGCATGCAGCGACGCGATAGAACGCGGGGGACAATGGAGCGCGGACTGGAAAATAAAACAAAGTCGGCTGACCTACATGAGCGGCGCGCGTAGGTGTAAACGCGAGAGTTCGCGCGACTCGTTCCGCGGAGCTTACGTTTCCTCCGTTTCCCCGCGTATCCGCTTTTCGTCGGTTAGATCGAGAAACCGACCGCCGCGCGGGAAACGGGAAATTCGTAGCTCGGTTCGCAGCGACGCGACGCTTCCACCCAGTTCTCGATCGTTCGAAGGAAACTCCGGAAATCGTCGATCGAACGCATCGTCTTTGGAACGAGCCGAGAACGGGTACGCGACGAACCGGCTGGGCCGCTTAATTTCTGCCGTCGCGGCTGAACGAGCCCGAGGAAAGGGGTTTTTAGAGTGGAAAAAGGAGCGATTGTTTGTCCCGTTCGGGGCATCGGGACGCGGGAACGCGTTCCCGCATTGTTTGTCCGGGAGAGGGCTCGGTCGAGCGCGGGGATCGCGGTATCGAACGCCGGGAGAGCTCCGCGGCGGCTCCGGGTAGGGAATAATATTGAAATCAGTGCGGTTCGTTCGTGCGCGGCCGCGAGCGCGCGACGACTGCGACGCCGGCCGGCGACGACGCCGCAACTAGGCCAGCTCGAAATAGAAACCGTCAACTGGGGCAGTCAATGGCCAACGTGCACGATCGTCACGGCATGTCCGCGGGTTTTCTTGCCCCTTCGACGTTTTTCTCGCTCCTTTTTCCCCGTTTCTTCGATCGAGCCCGCTCGGCAAACGCGCGCCGGCTCCTCCGTCGCG